AAAAAAACATATACAAGGTCATCAGTATTATTAAATAGACATAAAAAAAAATGACAAATGTCAAAAAATAAATGTCAAAATTTTTTGACAGATAGAATTTTTTAAACATTTTTTCAGTACTCTGGGGACTACCCAATTACTCCCTTTCAAGGAAATGCGCGTTTTTTGAACAACCTGTATATATTACCAAATAAATTCTTTTTAATTCTAATGGAATCGATATTTATAAGTTTAATGAAGTAGAAGAAAAATTTCAAGTAAAATAAGATACCAGGAACATAAAAAAAAATGTTTAAAAAATTTTATCTGTCAAAAAAATTTGACATTTGTTTTTTGACATTTGACTATTTTTTATGTCTATTTAATAATACTGATGATTTTGTATATGTTTTTTTACAATTATCTAGTAAAGGTACAAAAGTTTTGCCAATAAAAGCCACAAATAACATTGAACAGAGTTACAATTTAGGACACAGCTTTTTTTGTTTCTTCTTCTAATGGCCTGTAGCAAAAAAACTTGGAAAATTATTTTCCCTACAGAAATAAATAGAGTCAAAGTGCAAAATTTAAACTCTCATAACTTTGAAAGTTTTATAGATAGATTTTTTTTTTAATTTTTTCTATGTTTGTGGTACCTTACCCTACATGGCATTTGTCTTTGAAGCGGGAGTTCTGACGCACTCTGTATGTGCATACCATGTAGAACGTGACTCCTTCAACTTTTAGAATCGCGATATCTCAGGAATGGTGATTGTTAGAAAAAAAGTATAAGGACCATTTTGTAGATAATTTCAAGATCTACATTTTTTGTCTGGGCTACTTTTTTGATAAAACTTACCGTTTTCGAAAAAAATCTAAAAAACTTCAAATTTCGACCTTTGACCCCGAATAACTTTTTTAGCACACATGGGATCGATGGGGACTTTTGACACTTTATTCCTAATGGTGTACTCAATATCTCCACCAAAATTTAGCTCTGTCGGAATTTTAGTTATTTAAAATGTTTATTTTGACCGGACTACTTTGTTTTTCTGATCGGTATTATTTTATAGTTATTTTTTGTAAGAGTGTGTTAGGTAGCGTTTTATCCACGCAAGAATGTTTTTTATTCTTAAGTGGATAAAACGCGACTAACACACGACTGCAATATAACGTTTTATCCACAATCACAGGCCCAAGTTATTCCAAACTTAATTAAAAGTTAAACTGACATTTAAACGTCACGCTTTCAGTTAAACGTTGTAAGCTGTTACGCGGTGCGCTGGTTACTAACAGTGGAATAAAGTTACTTTATTCCACTAGTGGATAAAGTAGTACTTTATACGCATCTAAAGTGTAGAATAAAGTCTCTTTATAGAGTGATTGTGGATAAAAATATTTATTCATCCTTTGTTTTTTGTGTTTGCACTACCATTTTTTTATTAATCTAAATTGACTTTCAGAACAAATCTGACAGATCAGTCTTCATTACTAAATAGTATGTATGTAAGTTGAGGTTCACATTTCTAAGGCACCAAAAAAATTCATAATTCTTGAGAGCATACTTTTTAAAAAATCAACGCTTTATTATATAGCTTTGAATAGCACGGTAATAATGAAGCTAAACAATTGTTAATATAATACATTAATTAACAACTAAATTCCATGCACATTGTGTCGTGATTATCAATAATTAAATAGTCAATTTTGCAAAATTTAATCTTTAGCTCCATAAACCAGCGTAAGCTCAAAGCTCGCTTTGCTCATAAACAGCTTTAGATGGTCTTCTTACACAGTTCTGTTTCCAGCAATAATATAACGATTATAATCCCCGATTATAGTCTCACGGTCAGATCCCGCAATAAAACACAACCACAACACTCGCCGCTTAGTAGTTTTCGCTAATTTGATCCTTAGGGATCTTCCAACAACACAAGAGGACAATCGACGACCGCGAACATTAACTGAAGTTTGGTGGCGATAACTTCAGAACGACTAGACTTAATAGAATACTTTGCATGTTAAAGGTTGGTTCTGGGACTTGGTTTTATACGTAGAAAGTGGAACAGATGCTTCCTATCGCAATAATTTGCATCGAATTCCAAACCAAGTTTTCATATGGAACTTGGCATTTGTTTAAACTCGAAAATGATCTGCTTTAGAGAAAATCAACAAATCCTCTCTCAGATATTTTAGTTTTGTTATGCAAAACAAAACGGATCATCTGTCGAGGGTGTGGGAAAACGAGCTTTCAAAAATTCAACGTTATATGAATAATAAAATGTTCAAACCATGTGCCACATTTCACAATCAACCCAATTACCAAAGCGAATAGTGTGACTAAAATTGGCTTTCACGTGTGCAGAATTCAATTTTTTCAGCTTTTCTGTATGTTTGAAAGAGAATATTTGAACTGCACAGGTTTTATCGTAACTGAAATTAACTTTAACTGAATTACTGAGAAAACAAAATAATTAACCCGGATAAGTTCCTGAGAAGTTTAATTGTAAATCCGCCGTTAATTCTGCCCAATGAAGATTTATTGTTTGAATGGAGACTTTCTTGAAATTAAAACTAAACACTCCTTACAGCTGCTTAGATATTGAATATTGCAGGACGAAGGGACTGTCAAAAGTAACTTCTTTGGCTTCATTTTGAAACAATCCTAAACACAATTTATAATTTAAAAACGGGAAAACCCTTGAGTGTTTTTAGTTAAAGAATTGTATTTAAATGGCAAAACAAGAGTTTTATAGACAGTTTAAAATTCAAGGTCGTAGTTTAAATTTGAGCGAGAATTTAATACACCGAGATTGTGTTGTCTTCAAAATTTTTTCCAACACTAATATTGATAAGAGTATTTTATTGGTATTTTATATATATGTACTTATAAAATACGATGTGATTGACGACGTATTTTATAGAAGAGCATGTATTAACGGTAACGCTTGAAACATTAGTGTTGAAAAAATAAAATAACAATTTAGATCATTAATTCTGAATTTCACAAAAATATGTTTAAACATTTATTTTTTTCCGCTAAACTTTTTGATTTTTGCATCGTCGGTTTGCCTAAGTAATAACGGTTTAAAGAACAGGCTGGATTTGAGAAGTAATTTTAATTAAGATTTCTCAACGATCCGCATTCATTTAAAGCTTTAATTTAACTAATTTTGTTTCGAGTTTTTTTGGCTCATTCCAACATCTTTTCTTGGTATTGATGAGAAAGCATTTCTTACATTGGAGACTGGGTTTTTTTTATTTCATACTGTTTGGCTCCATTTTGAGTCCGGAAAGTGAGCCATTCCGAATCAGAGTTCGGAAGGGTCCAATAAAACGTCAAAGCATTTTTTTTGAAACAATGTGAAATGCTATAATAATAATAAAATTAATTTATTATTAATTATTATTATTCTTATTATTAATTTTTTTATATTAGAAATAATAATAAAGGATTTTTTATATCCGAGCTGAGTAGCTTCCAGGGAAATAATAAGTAAATGCAAGGCTATAAAAATCTTCTCTACCGTGTTTTATATAATATTTTTTCACTACTAGCACATTATTACTCAGAAATACAACGGTAAAGAAAATAACCTTACTTAATGAGCATGTTACTTCAGAAATAACAAGTTGTAATTCATAACTATTCTGTTTGTTAATTTAGTATTACCTTCATTAAATAACTTCTAACCTGAGTGATTAACTCAAGTTGAAAATATTATTTTATTCTTTTCGTATATAAGGTTATGTCATTTTTACTTCTGCACTACTACAGAAATTTTTGCCTTCATAGTATGAAATATTTGTTAAAATGAACATAGAAACTGCAAGAAAAAAGTGTTAAAATTTGCTCTACGTATTTCAACATGAAATTTGTTGTTTTACTAGTTTTGTACAAGACAGTAGAATTAAAAAAAGTGGGGTTATTCTGATGTTTAATGTTTTATTAATGAGGTAATTTAAGTCTTTTTTATTTGTTTTTACATCAATTTTATCTCGAGATACTTCCATTAATACTTGTGATAATAATAAGTTTAAATAATACTCTTAATATTCTATATAAACAGGGTGTAACGAAAAGGGACAAAGAGTAACCTGAGATTTTCCAGGTCAAAATAGAGCGATTTAGCCCACCCTGTATTTGTAGCAAAGTAAAACCCTCTAATATCGGTATTTACCCACCTTTAGTCCATTATTGGTGAATAATGAAAATGATTGATGACCACTAGGAAAGAAAAACAACTTCACAACCTCTCAGTAAACTGAATAATACTTCCAAACACAACTAGTAATGAAAAAAATAAATTATACTCCACATAGTACATATTAAAAGTATCAAAAAATTGCACGTAATGGAAAGACGATAACTAAGGATAAACGTTTCTAAAATCCTGCTATAAACTCTTCTCTATAAAATTGATTTTGCAGAAAACTGCACCAATCTCGTTACCTTTCGATACAGTTTCGTATCATTGAACCCACTTAAAATGTGCTGAATTTGTGAATTTTTGTCAAGTCTCGATTGCAAAGACCAGAAGTTACCAAATGAAACTGCACCTTGTAGAATTATTTATTTACATTTTTCTTCGTCAAGTTGCGGAAATCCATCGCTCCATTTTGATTCTTTCGCAAGAATACAAAGACAAAGCCAGATTGTCAGAGATTTACAATTATAATTCCCTTCTGTTTGTGCATTCCCGTTCCTGTTCTGACTTCAAATCCCAAAAGTCGTAAATAAACAAGGACGCTGAGTGAAAACCGCGGTTTTACGTTCGCGTAATTTAATATTCTTTACATTTGCTCGAATATCTATCCGCATTTGTCACAGATAATGCCCGTAATTTGGTTACTATCATGTAGTATTTCATTTGCAAATACAATTTTCTGTTTCTGCCTGTGTTTATCATTTTTGTTTTGTTGTCTAATTCTTGTGAAACGAATTATTCATAAAACTAAAAGTGACAAACACATAAAACGTTAATTTGGGCTTTTGGCTTTAATGGCTGTAAAAATTACAGGTCGACCTATGGTAACTCCAAGTAACAAAACCATCACAGCAGTTTACGGCCAACCGTTGACTCTGACAATGGAATTTTGTGCCAATCCCCCCTATAATAAGGTCTTCTGGATCACGAAAAATAAAGTTTATACTCCCGGAGACGCCGACAAAACTGTGATTGCTTATGGGATTACCGTAAGTATCTTCCTGCTCAATAGTTTTTCAAAAATTTGAATAAACTATTTGTGTAAATTTGTTGCATTAAAGAAGTGAAGTTTGGTTTAGAAAATTTTCATAGAACAGTTTAGTAAACTAAAGACTTGAAATTGAAAATAAAATCTCACGATATAATAAATAATTAAATACTCCTACAATTTATTCAACATCACTATAGTAATATGATAATTCTTAACCTTTTGGAGGTCAAGAAATTCGTCATTACATACCGTGGTCGGGAAATAATTTATGGAGGATTACCAAGGTTACGAGACTATCAAATGTCAAAAACTCAATCTGTTTGCATTGCAACTATGTCATTGCTTCAACTTTGATAGAAAAATAAATATTTTATGATTTAAAGAAATGTGATAAAAGCTTTTTGAACTAAATCTATGATTTGCAAAACTACTATCACTCGTGGCTTACTTGTTCTAAAACGGTAAAAGTTGGAAGAATAATAATAATTATTTGTTCATTTTTTAGTAAACTACATAAAAAAGAGGTGACAGAAAAATAAAACACCTCAAAATGTAAGACACCAAAGAATTAAAAAAAAAACACACTGTTGCCACTATCTCTGTGGTAGATAAGTATACGTATACCTACCTCGGGGTTAAAGAGACAGAAAAACCAATTAATAATCTCTTATAGAACCAAAAACAAAAAATAAACTACTAGGTACCTACATTTAATTTTTTTAATTATTTAACATTTAACAAACTTCTTCATTTTTCAATAACATTATGGGTATTACCGAGGGGCCGTTCACTCTGGATTAGTTGTACGAATTTTTGGAATTTAATCGGAAATTGTTTGGAATTATTGAAATTATCTTTGGATTGTTTGGAATTACTTGTGAATTACGGAAATTATATGTGAACTATTGGAATTACTGGAATTCTTTTTGGAATTTCTGGAATTCTTTTTCGAATTGCTGAAATTCTTTTTGGAATTGCTGGAATTCTTGTTGGAATTATTGGAATTCTTTTTGGAATTATCAGTTACTTGGAGTGCCACTCTGCGCAAGCGCTTAATTTCAAGGACACTTATAGGTATAATTTCTTTCCAAAATTAAGTTGAATTTCTTAGAACTATTTAACTTGGAATTACAGGAATTAAGTAGAAATTACAGGTTTTTATTTTTTGGAATTACAAGAATTAATTTGGAATTATAGGAATTAATTTGAAAAAAAATGGAATTACGATGGATTATTGGAATTACTGGAATTTTTTTGGAATTGGAATTAGTTGTACACATTTTTTTAAGTTAATGGCCCCTCGGTTATTGCAGTGTGCTAAATTTACACCCACTTTCTTTATTAAAGTAAATTATGAAAATAACTATTTTCTATAATACCTACCTACTTAGTTTTTTTGTAAGATGTTTTTAAAAAGAATGTGTTTTCATCAAAAAAATCAAGTTATTTCAAAAATTAAGCAATATCAACTAGTAAAAGCAGGGGCGATCCTAGCTGCCCTTTTCTAATACATAATAATTGTAAGGTGTAGCAGTAAATAAAAGTTCCATATAAAAAAAGAGACAACAGACATATATTTATTTTAAAATTTCAACATAACAAATTAACAATAGATAAAACACAAATTAATTAACAAAAATATAAGCATGGGCACAAAAAAATACAATAAACAAAAATTAAAACAATTGCAAAACTAAAAACTTTAAAATTTTACTTTTTTTGCTTTTAGAGAAGCAAATTTTTGACTTATTTCACTAAAATCTATTTTGTCACACTTAAATTATAGCTAAATTGGATAGCCTTTCTTGACCAGTTGTGGACCTTCAATAGTTTTTTATTAATTTTAATTTTGTTACGCTAGGTTTGCTACTCGGATTTCCAACACCGTAAGGATGTTTTCCAGATAAGGAAAGTCGTGTGATGTTCATACCAGATTTTTTTATTTACAAATTAAGAAATATAGATATCTCTCTTTTTCTATTTTTAGCCGCTCCTAAAATTTGGCCGTGTGCATTGCACCCCTTGCACATAGCCTAGGATCGCCCCTGAGTAAAAGTTTGCTTTCGATGTTCAATCGAGTCTTCAAACAAAAAAAAACGAAATTGAATTTTTAAGAAAAAGAATAAGCAAATTGGGCTCTTTGTAAGTGAATGTTGTTCCTGAATTAAATCAGTACCTCACACCCACAAAGTAACACAAAAATATTATCTCATTTTAAATACATATTTGTATCAGATTACAAAATTCAATGGTTTTTATTTTTTATGAAAGTATTAAATACAGTTGACATAAGCAAGTCATCTACAAAGCGGCAAAAATGAATCAGTACTGATTTTCAATAAAAAAATAAAATGGCCAAAAACAGAGGTTTTTTATCTTATTTGTAAACGACACGGTAAAAAAAATTAATTAAGATTATATTGTTGGCTAAGGCCAATTTAAACTACAAACGAGAATTTTTGAATCAGTGTAGTTCAACCTTAAAAGCGAAATCCAAAAATACATAAAATATAGATCATTTCTTTTTAAAAAAACAACTATCTACTCTATATTTTTATATACAGGGTGAGTCATATATGCTAAAGACCCTAACCGATTTTCAGACGCAACCCAAAATACATTCTCAGATACCACTATGCATTAATTGATGTTTAGATTGAAATTTTTCCAAGATTTAAACATAGATATCTGTGATAGCTTTGACAATTTTTATAAATTGGAGTCCTATCGTGTACCTTTGACAGTACACATTCAGCCACAGCATTTTTGTAATATTCTCCATTTATCAAGATCTTGTCATTTTTTTGTCGTTTGAGTATATTTTGAATTCAAGTCAAATTTAATTAGTGACATATCAACAATTACTTTGATTTAAAAATAATCTTAATTTTTTAAACGTAACAAAAGCCAAATGTATTTTGCAAAAAAATCAATCAAGATATTCAAGGCGGAATAGATATGTTTTCCTTTTAAATGATCTCATAACAAAATAGCTTTCCATTAAAAGAAAAAAACAATTTAAGATTGTTTACACACTTATTTTCCATTTAATTTTGAGCCCACTAAACAAGAAAGAAAAGGAAACAAGAGAACAATACCTATGTACAATTCTACGATTTCCTTAAGAATTGACAAACATGGTTAAAACTTTGCTTCTTTTAAAGTTAAACATAATTTTAAAATTACACAACGAATTTGTTGCTAAATTATTAAAAACTAATTGTTGATTTTTAGAATTCCAGCGACCCCAACTGCCACCAAGCAGTCCTGTTCTTGACAAAAGTGACCACCTTGGAAATTGGAGAGTACAATTTCATTGTGCGATCACCAAGTGGCTTGGCAGAAGGAAATTTTCACGTGAATATGACCTACGCCAGTGGCTATAACGTTCAAGATGTAAAATCGGCTTGCGTCACACACAGTCATTTTGCAGCAGTTTATGTAAATGTGATTATTTTGTTATTAATGAATTGTTATTCCCGACTGAATTAGATATTATCAGATTACACCACACAGTATATTGTAATGTATACTTAAATTTACACAAGAGATTATTTGGGGAAGATATTGTGAAAATGATTATATTCTATACTTAGGCTCAATATTTTCCTTTAAATAATTTTTTATAAAAGTCATTTTTAAATGTATAGTTTTCTATTGTTTGCAACAAGACATGTATAAATTTGTTAATAGACGGCGCTTAAGTGTAAAAATTAATTGTAAGGGTCTAAATGACATGATAATAAAATATTCGTCCAACCACCCACAACCTTATTTTGGATTGCAAAACAATAATTGCACACTTTACGGACCATCTTGTCAACTTTACAAACATCAGCTCTTAATTCCTCCAAATTTTTTTAGTGATTGAACTTTTATTTATTAAAAAATTGTCATCAAAACAGTCAAAACACCCATTTTTGGAAAAAAATTAACACATTTTTTTTATTTCCTCGAATACCAACTTTACAAAACTGAATTTGGTTTGCAACATGATGGGAATGAAACAATTAATGCAGGGTTGTCCACATTTGAAATCTAATAAGGTAAACGCAACCCCACGCTCCTTACTTTTTTCACCTTCTTTTAATTAAAAAAACTAACTTCTTGTGATTATTGATTGCTTTTATTATCTCCACTATTATCAGTGACTCATTTTTAATTTTATCTAAGGTCAAGCTTCAAAGTTTACTATTATCTTACCTCTTATCTCAAACCTTGGCTTCTCCTCAGTCGCTTCGTTCATCTCCGTAGTGCGTAGCCTCTAAATTTGACATTTGAGAAAGCTAGGTTATGTTAAAATTTCTCCAAAATGTTTAATTTTATATCATCTGTAAAATGTGCAGTATGTCTAGGCCCCCGTCAGTTTGTAAGACAGCGAATTAAATTACCTTTAATTAAATTCATTCATGACACGGTTAAATTATATAAAACACGGACACAAACCGGAGTCAACAATGTCAGAGAAATTCTATTCCGGGGCACTGTTGTGGCTTTAATAACAGCGCTTTTAGTTTGGTTGGCTATTTTCATGTATATTGCTTTTTATTACGCCTACGTGCCTACGATTTCCCATGAACGGCCTGTTTATCTCAAGTTTAGGCAAGTTATTACATAAATATTTGAATGTTTTTCTTATAAAAAAAATAAAATTGTAGATCTTGTGATAAGGAGTCATGTGTTGCTAGTAGTGGAAATAAAGCCATTTGTAGTTTCCCTTCCGCTCATATAAAATTAACTGAACGTCAAAGGCTTCTCATGCTAGGACAACCATACAAAATTCATCTAGATTTAGAAATGCCTGAATCTCCCACAAATCGAGATCTTGGTAAGTGCAAACACCAAATAAAATTTTAATTTTTTTTTATAAAAACGTGTGTTAATTAACCATTTTACAGGGCTCAATTTAATGCACTCGGCTGCGCCTCGTGTGTCAAATTAATTTCGCCCTGTGAAATGTCAGTTACTAAATAACTATTTTATTAATTATTGTTCTTAGGAATGTTTATGGTGTGTGCCGACTTTGTTGGAAGTGATGGCAAAACACTGATCAACTCTTGCCGGTCTACAATGTTGCATTATCGTGGATTCTTACTCGATACCCTTTATAAAATAGTATTTAGCCCTTTCTTTGTGTTTGGTAGTGCTGAAGAGAAACAAAACATACACGTTGAACTATTTTCAGATTTTGAAGAAGTTGAAGTAAGAAAAAAATTATTTTTTTTACTAATTCTTTATGTATTTGTTCTAGAGTGAACCAGTTACTGATATTTTTATTGAAATTCAGACCAGACATATTGAGATTTATTCTGCTAGATTTTTAATTAATGCCCACTTTACCGGACTAAGATTTTTGATGTACAATTGGCCGGTCTTCTCTGCTGCTATTGGTAAATTAAGCTTGTGCATTTTTTTACAATTAAATAATCCAAATTTCAGGTATCACCTCAAACTTGGTCTTCATTGCGATAGTTTGCATGATAAGTTGGTACCAAATTATTAATTCTGAGGAATATCTCCAGTTGCTTCAAAGTCAAATTGATCAAAAACAATTGAAAGACTTTGACAGTGGTAAGTGTAAAAAGCACTTTGCGTCACACTTTTTCACAGATAAATGGATCATATAGCGCCTTCAAATTGGTCTGGTTATGCTTGAGTAATTACAAGTAAATTGTCTTTTAGTTATATGAAATAATGTACTTTTTCTAACGAAAACAACTGTAAATAAACCTCAAGGAAATTCGACATTCAGTTATTGTTTTGAATTAATTTTTTAATATGTTGGTTGGAGAAAAAAAATTGCATTTTGACCTTGTTCTACTTAATTTAAAGTGACTGTTTCAATGTTATGTGTACTAGAGTGTCGTTAAAATGATAACAATAGGTAAAATAAAGTCGCGATAAAGTTTACATTGAGTAAATTATTTTTGACACCTCAAACAAATGACTAACGATAATACTTCAAACCTTACATTTTTTTTCTTTTTTAGGTTCTTCTAGTTCGTCTCTTGATGAAGATACATCATTGTTACATGAAAATCTAAGATTTCGGAAAGGCAGAAGTGATAGTAAAGATTTTATTGAAGACATTCGAGATATGGATTGTTAAAGTGTTTTAGAACTGTTAAATTTATGTATGTCATTCCTAAGATACCAAAGATTGTACTTTTTAACATTTTTTTTCATATCTCTCTATATTTTTATTGTATATTAAAGTTGTATCACTTAATAAAATTGTTATTTTCATTAATACAATAAGAATTAGTAAAACACAAAGCTAGTTTACACGATATCTGTTAGATATTAGATTTTTCAGTTGTTTTCGACTAATTTTAGGTTGCTGATGCATAGGTTTTTTTCTAGTTTTTGAGTTACAACATCAGTAAAATAAAACTATTTGTTAATAAATAAAACGTGAATTAGGTATTTTCCACCGTTAAGTTTTATTAGAACACTGAGCATTGTTTTATGCTTCAATATTAAAACATCACGCTGCAAAATTATACCTACCGCGAAAACTTATCTAAAATTTAAAAAAAAACAATTTAATTTCCGACTAAAAAGACTAAAGTCTGTAAATTTCGGACAAATTTTTATTAAATAATTCTATCTCCAGGTGAAAAATGTGTTATAAAGCTTGAAAGAAGCAAAAATATTGCTATTTCTGATGATTTTTTTCGTCTCGTTTAAGCAAAGCCTTGAGAAAATTTGAAATTTTAACTCAAAAACGTACCTAAGCGCTGGAAAAAAAAACACAGTTCACAGAATCCACACTCAATTAAGTGTTTTTGGCTTATTTTTCACGAAATTTTACAAAGTAATAATTTTTTGAATTAAAATCGGGCTGAAACGGTCGTAAAAAGCAAACATTATTTATTTTTTGATCGAATTTTTCTCAAATAATTCTGTCTTTGGCTGAAAAATGTGTTAAAAAGCTGGAAAAACGCAAGCATTTTCGAGGTCGAAAAACCTAAGTATACCCTTTTTCATACTAATGTGCATCAAGTAGGTTGTAGAAGTCTTAATGTATCTTTAATTTAAAGGCCGATTTACACAAAAAGTGTCATTAATGTCATTCAGAACAAATTTAATCACATCAATAATGACAAAAATCCTTATGTTACACAATTTTTTTTGATGACCCACTTTATCTAAGTAAGCTAAAAAAAATCATTAATTCAAGCTGAAAATTTGTTGCTTTTGTTTTTTGTCGAGTGTTTAAACTCTTCTTTGAAATAGAAATCTTTTTTTTTAATTTCGCTAAATGAGTTCGCAAAAACTAATAATTTTGTTTTTTACGACCGTTTTAGCCTTATTTTAAATCCAAAACACAATTATTTTGCAAAATTTTGTTAAGAGTAAGCAAGAAACACTAAATTAAGTCTTACTTTTTTGAGTTAAAATTTCAAATTTTCTCAAGGTTTCCTTTAGACGGTGTGAAAAATCACCAACCTAAAAAATACGTCAAAAATGGCATTCATTTTGCCTTTTTCTAGCTCATTAACGCATTTTAAGCCAGAGACAAAATTATTTTAAAAAAATTGCTTTCCACTATCGTTTTATCCCATTTTAATTTCGAAACGCAATTATTTTGCAAAATTTTATTAAAAATAAGCCAAAAACGCTAAATCAGCTCGAGAATGTGATTATTTTTAGGTTTTTTGACCAAAGACAGAATTACTTGAAAAAAACTTGACCAAGAAATAAATAATGTTTGCTTTTTATCGTTTTATCGATTTTAATTTAGAAGCGCAATTATTTTGCAAAATTTCATTAAAAATAAGCCAAAAACACTAATTTTTAGCGTTTGGACACGTTTTTAAGTTAAAATTTTAATGTTTCCCAAGCTTTCGCTTAAATAGCATGGCGAAAAATCACCAATCTACTCGTTTTCATGCATCGAAAGGTATCATTTTAAGGTGGCAACCATGCGAAAATTCAAACAATCCTAAATACAGTCTTCCCTAAAAAGTATTTTTTCAAATAAATGTGTACCCCATGTAACAAAAATAATTAAAATTAACAACGTAATTATTAACATTATTATTTTAACAGCAGCTTGCCTACAATAATAATAAATAATACGCGAATAAATAGCAAAATGATTATAACAAAATGTTCAAAATTTAAAAGGAAATTTTATTTAAAATTGCTAAAATCCTGTTTGCGCTATCTTAGAAAACCCATAAATAATGTGGGATTATTATTTCTTATTTTTCTCTAGTGGAAAAAAACAATAAAAGGCTCGATAAACTTAACTAATAAGCGACACGGCTCAATAATTTTTTATCAAAGTAGCGGTTTAAAAATTATCAAATTTCCTGTATAAAACATTACGTTTGATATTTCCTACAACATTATTATTGATTCACAAAAAATTATTTCAAGTGCATACACCTTTCCGTAATTTATTTGACCCCCACCACTGATTGCAAAAATTTTGAACAAGATCCCGCACGAGAATTGGCCACAGCACCTGTCCGAGGTCCAATCCAACCAATCACGTTAAAGAATCCCCCAGTTTCCACGCATGGCAACCTAACCTCAAGGTAAATAAAGTAAACATAACCTAGATCGCCCGAACTGTCAGTGTCACTTGTCAGAGAGAAGAGTTGTGTGAAAGAGGAAGGAAGTCAGCTTGGTTTCACTTCCAATTACTCGGCCGATGTGCTACTTTGAAAGTGAAATCTGAAAGTTAGTTGTAAACATGTCGAGCCAAGAGGACATCATCAAGAAGCAAAAAACCTGCATGCAAGTGGCCACCAACGTCACGGAGCAACGCCACCATGTGTCCCGTGCGAAACGTGGCCAAATCCTGGGCCATCTGCGGGGCTTCCGGGGCTGCACCGTCTGGTTCACCGGCCTCTCTGGCGCAGGTAAGACCTCGATCTCCTTCGAGCTGGAGGCCTACCTCATCCAGCACGGCATCCCCGCCTACGGCCTCGACGGCGACAACATGCGAACGGGGCTCAACAAGGACCTGGGGTTCAGCAAGCAAGACAGGGAGGAGAACATCCGACGAGTGGCCGAAGTGGCGAGACTCTTCGCAGATGCCGGCCAGATCTGTCTTTGCAGTTTCGTGTCCCCCTTCGCCGAGGACCGGGAGTTGGCGCGGAGGATACACCGCGATAACGACTTGCCGTTCTTTGAGGTATTCGTCGATTGCCCGTTGCCGGTGTGCGAGCAGCGAGACACCAAGGGGCTGTATCATAAGGCGAGGCAAGGGGCTATTAAGGGGTTCACGGGGATTGATCAACCGTATGAAAAGCCGGAACATCCGGATTTGGTTGTAAAGACGATTGAATCGTCGGTTGAAGAGTCGATGTTTCACGTTGTTGAAATGTTGCAAGAAAATGGGATTATTCCTTTAGTTGAGGAGGATTATGAGAAGGTTTTGGAGCTGTTTGTGTCCAAAGACAGGCTTGCTGCTGCCAATGAGGAGGCAGCGACCTTGCCAAAGTTGAATATAACTGTTCTGGATTTGCAGTGGCTACAGGTTAGTAGAAATTCCAAATAATTTTGCAATTTCTATGCAAATATTTTTATAACAGCAAGAATGCAGCTAGATATTTTTTTTATATTTTACATACTTGTTATGTAAAAGTTATTAGCTATTGTTTTCTAGTAATAAATTGGACTCTAAAAGCGTTAAAATTAGCAAAAACAATTTTCTAACATTAATTTTAATTTAATGTTTTTTTAATGATTTTAATGCCTTAAAAATTGTATCAAATGAAATAAAAATATACCTCGAAATTCTTTACTTAAATTCATTTTATTGAGATACATGCAAAATCTGGTTGTAATCAATTGAAATTTGCTTGACTTTGCAAAAAACACAAAATTGCAACTGCAACCTGTATTTTATTTATTGACTTGGAATATCAGAACTAAGTGATTATCGCAATAATATATATTTACACTAAAAAGGTTAAAACTTATGTAAACAAAAATTTCTTTAGAACACATTATTTTTTGTATTTATATTATCAATTTTTTTAAGTGTTTATTTTATTCTTCGACACTATCAAAATTTACGGTTTTTCTCCTGTACGGAAATTTGGAAAACTGTTTCGCATTTCTCATACGAAACGTCAGATTATTTTTAACAGATTTAAACAATTTTAAGCCTTGTTGAGTCTAATTCTAAGAATAAAATGTTGTATTCAACTCATCTTCGTGTAAATCGGTTCATTTATTCCACTCGTGAAATAAAGCGTCCGATTTACACTCAAACTCGTCGAATAAATAATTATTTTTCTTCAAATAAAATCTTTAAAATAAGAAATCATATCTGTGAAATTAGTTTGATTCAAAAATGCAATCAATGTTTTAGAAAACTGAAAAAAATACTGGAATTTCAAAATATAGAAGATTTGAAAAAAAATTAGAAAAATTGACCCGTCAGATCACATCATATTCTGGGTGATTTTCATTTTATAATGAAACGAAAAAATATATAATTTTAACTGCTAATCACAACAGCTTACGATTTTTTTCTGTTTCTAATAACAGGAATGTTTTGTAACAATTTTAAATTCGTTAAATTTTTAATGAAAAGTGGGTATTTTAATTTATTTTAATCGCAAACGTCAGGAAAATTACGATTTTATGACTAGATGACACAAGTAAAAGTTTTACCCTTCAAACATAAGGTAAAAACACTTTTTTCGTCTTCTTTCGCTGCTTCAGCATTAGTATACAGGGTGCGCCAGAACTCGCGCCTCAGAGAAGCCATAGGTAAGATACCAGGAACATGGAAAAAATGTTAAAAAAATTCTATTTATAAAAATTTCGAAGTTAACAGAGTTTAATTTTTGCACTTTGACTCCATTTATTTCTGTTGGAATAATAATTTTCCAAGTTTTTTTGCTACACGCTATTAGAAGAGGAAACAAGGGAGCTGTATCCTAAATTGTAACTGTTTAATGTTATTTGTGGCTTTTATACGTATTGGCAAATTTTTTGTACCTTTACTAAATAATTACAAAATAACATGATAACAATGATCATTAGTATCATTAAATAGACATAAATAAATGTCAAATGTCAAAAAATAAATGTCAACATTTTTTGACAGGTAGAATTTTTCCCGTGTTCTTGGTATCTTATCTTACTTGAAATTTTTCTCTGGGCGCGAGTTCTGGGACAGCCTGTATGTTATTTGGAGTAAAAGTGAGTTTATATGGCTCAACTGAATCATAGGCGTACACTTTTACTCCTAATAACATAATATACTATTATAGTGATCTAATCTAAAATGTTTCATAAAACACACTTTTTTCTAATAAAATAAGTCAAGTCTTTATTTCAACCTTAAAAACAGTCAGTCATACCTATATGTATATTTTATTTTGGTTTTAATATTTTTTCTGAAATGTTGCAGGAAGTAATTTTAACACTTACCTAAGTTATTTATTAAAATACGTGAAAGATATTTGATAATGGAAACGAAACGTAAAATAGTTCAATGTTATTAGTACGTTCTTTTGAGTAATTTTATGTAGTCGGTTTATTTTATTCAGTGTTGCCAACTTAATTTTAAAATTGTAAGCCACTCGGATCGAAAATTAAATTGAAGCACGATACATTCACTGTAACTTTTTTTGTTTCAAAAAGAACTTTTAAATGATAGTACATGGTCGAGGCGGCAGCCGAGTAATGTAATAAATTGATTTTTTATTCTTTAATAAAAGTATTAAACTAGAAATCTTATCTGAGACCCCGTATTCAAAAAATATACAAAATATTAATTGTGACATAACTATCTATTATCTTAATATGATGTTTAAATTGAACTTAAAATTTTTTATAATTGCCTCAACTTGACATCATTATGACTTGCAAAGTACTCCAAAAAAGTGTTGAAACCTTGCCCCTTTTTGATACTTTGAATTATTTTAGGTCATCTATGTTATTCTATTATTGTTCTCATTAATATTTACGATGTTTAGACTAATGCACTTAATCTAATTTTTCTTTTTCTTATTTTTTGTACAACTAACCTAATGTCAGTTCTTATCTTTGCACATTTACCTAAGTATTAGCTTGCATAAAATGTTTGTAATAAATGCAGATAATTCAACAATTTTGCACAATTTATACATGTTTTGTTTTCCTAAAAATATTTTAAAAATTTGGCATTTATTAATAAAAAATTACTACAATTACAGAATAATTTAGTTTTTCCTAAGTTATAAATTATGCATATTATTTACCAAATTAATTAGTTTATTCTTTCCTTATTTAAATCTTTTTACAAATAATTGTTTTCGTGTACATACATATTTTTCACCTTGTTATTAGATAATGCACAATAAATAGGAAACTTTTTACATGGGGATTTGCATAGATTTGATTGTTATTTAAAATATTACAATTACACTAAAATTAACTCTCATAATCCTGTTATCTAGCGCAAGGCCATTTCTAGGTAAAACTTTTTTTTCATCTTTGACACAAATAACTAAACAAGATACAATTTGATCTTTCGTTCACCGGAGCTAAAACCAAAAGGTAGAAGGCAGGAAATAAATAAAGATTTGTGTTTAACGAGATAATCACTTTAGATTTTTTAATTCACTCAAAAGTTTAATGGAATGATGTGATTGGTTCATTTTTCCAACCATAGAGAAACCAATCACTTTAGACTCTAGTTTCATTCAAAAATATCGAAGTTGGATAATTCAGATTTGCATGCTAATTCTAATTTTTAAAGGAAATTACAATTTATTATGTTTAAATAATTTTTTGTTGTAAAATCTTATTTTTCTTAATTCCTTGCTATAACTCTTGATAAATGTCGTAAAATTCTCCTTAGCGAACAACATGTTTTTATCTTTAGCTGATCTCGTTATATTCAATAAATACGTCACAACAATTTTTCAACCCACTCTAATAATAACTCAATTTTTAACAATTAGATAAGTGTCTGACTATAATAATAAATTTGAAGAAATGTGTGTAAATATGCCATCGTTTGTATTAATTAGCATTCAAACTGATAGTTTTAACATATATTCTTTTTTTTGATAACAACAAACATAGAAGATTAACACAAGTCAAAAAATAATGTGAAGTAAATACGTAAATTATTATTTACGATGTTAGTTAATCGAATTTATTACTTCTTATGCAGCTGCACTTCAGCACGAAGATGATTAAAATAGGTCACATGAAGTAACATTTTGACATTAATGTGGGTCACGTTTTATTCAATTTTTGCATCATTTTTTTTCACATTCTCTCACGCAGTTGAGATAATTCTGTTTTTAGAAACTTTTCCTAGTAAAATAATATTTTAATTACTGATTAATATTTTCTCTTTTTGTATCCTCAGGGAAAATTCTGTACGTCGATAGGCAATTATGCACCATAAAAAAATACATACGTCTACCTTTTTTAGATTATTTTTAGTCACTGAGGAATTACTGTTAGAGACCTTCTAGTAATTTACAAGGACCAGGATTTTATATACAAGGTGCGCCAGAACCCTAATGCTATGTAAGGTACGATACCAGAAATATGGAAAAAATGTTAGAAAAATTATAAGAGTTTAAATTTTGCACTTTGACTTTTGTTGGAAAAATAATTTTTCAAGTTTTTTTCTACTATTAGAAGAGGACACAATGAAACTGTATCCTAAATTGTAACTCTGTTTAATGTTATTTGTGGCTTTTATTGGCAAAATTTTTGTACCTTTACTAAATAATTATAAAAAAACCTATACAAGATCATCAGTATCATCAAATAGACAAATGTCAAATGTCAAAAAATATATGTCAACATTTTTTGACATATCTCATCTTACTTGAAATTTTTCTCTGGGACGTGAGTTCTGACACTCTCTGTATGTACTCATTGATAATTGCGTATTTCGATGTTACAGTTATTTTTCCAAAGTATCCTGTAAAAGAACACGACCCTTTATTACTTTTTAAAATTAAAATTAGTTTTAAGTTACAGTATTCAAAATGTAATGTGCAATGACAAAAACAATGATATTTTTATATTTTAATACTATTATAAAAATCCAAACATCTTGAAACTGTTTTTCTAAATAATAATAATAATATAGCTGCACATTTTCGCCATTGCTGTTGCAATACATGGATATGTATATCAAATAAAAAAAAGTTAAACGAGAAACAAATACAATTTATCAACAAACCGGATGAGAATACTCTACATACTTTTTTACAGAGTAGGACCAATTGCTTACAAAGAATTTTTTTTAAAGAGACCTTAAATCTTTTAAAGTTTTCAATCTTTTTAATTTCTGAAGGAACATATGCATTAAAAATGAAATAATAATAAATAGATCAAAATCTCTGTAGGTATTCTTTCTTCAAGTCAGATTGTTAACGTTAAAACGTATTTTCTTTTTTAGATATTTACATATAATTAGACGTTACAAATTGAATGTGACCAATGAGGAGGAAAAATGTGACCATTTGTTTGTTTTGTATTGAATTACATTAAAATTGTTTTTGTTTTTTATCAATCTCGTTAACATTTTTTTTTCCAACTAATACTGTTTCTATGGTGCATTTACGCTCTTCTATAAAACACGTCGTCAATCACATCGTATCTTATAAGTACATAAGGGTGTAAAATAAGTACACTTGCCTTAACATTTTGTCAATTTTGACAAATTTCTTTATAATTTAGTAAAATTTTTGATTCAATTTATTGGAAAAAATTTTGAAGATTACACAAATTTTATAGTTTAAAACTATTATTTATTACAAATTATTCCGTGTATTTGTTTGCTGTAAAAAAATGCAAAACGCGAGAACTAGAAACATGTTAGATTTTTTCTAACATATTATAATAATGACGATTACTTCAAAAAAATATATATTTATTTGGATTTTTAATAAATATACTCGTATTTAACCAAAAAAAAAATTTTCTTCGCCGACATCTACTATATGCAACGCTTTCATAATTGACCACTGGCACCAATACCAATAGTTATTATTTCAATCACGTGGCTTTTGATTAATTATGAAATCCCTGTATTTCTGCTTACGAAATATTTTTTTTAGACATTAGGGTATTCTACAAGAAACAAAATACTTTAAATACTTATTATTTCTCTTAATAAATTCGAAAACATGATAAATTTGCCCACAAATTTCAAGAGTATTGATAATTTTGTAATTGTTGGTAGCACTTTGAAGAAATAGATGTTTTCATGCAAAAATGATACATTTTTTTTTATTTGTACATACAGGGGTGCGCCAGAAGTTGCGCCCGAGAGAAATTGTAATATTTTCGCTTAAATAACATCCTGGCATCTGTTTAGTCCACATCTCTCACATTTAGATTCCAATAGAAGTCTTTGCGTTCTTTGTCTCTAATTTTTTTGCCTTTTTTTCTACAACGTCCTGAGGTGCATAATAAAGTTAAAAGTAAAATTTCTATGCCACTTTTAAGAAAGTCTAATAAAGGTTCTTTTATAGTTTAGACTTCATAAATTATAAAATCCGTACAACACCTTTTTCAAGTGTAATTCAGAAACCGTAAGATATATTTCAGAAAATGTTTATTGTAATTCAAAACAGTAACATGAATTTCAGAAACTATCAGGTATAATTCAGATTAGTTAACTTAATTTCAGAAAGCGTAAATTGGAATTCAAATTTGTCAATTGTATTTCAGAAAGTGCTAATTGTTATTCAGAGTTTATCATTTGTAATTGAGAATTCGTCAATTGTAATACAGAATTCACTACTTTCATTTAAAAATTACATTATCAAAATCCTTTTGAAAATAAAGTATCTTATTTATTCTGAAAAATACCAAGTTTATGTATTTTTAATTTTGAAAATAAAATAATTTGTATTTATGTGTAAACTTTATTTTGAGATAACAGTAAGTTACTTATCTGAATTACTGTTGATATTTTCTGGACTACATGTAACATGAAATTGAATTTACTGTTCTGAATTACAATTAATACTTTCTGAAATACAATTGACTAATCTGAATTCTAATTTATGCTTTCTGAAGATAAATTAACTAATCTGAATTACATCTCATTGTGTCTGAAACTCATTTTACTCTTCTGAATTACAATTAATATTTTCTGAAAGATAATTGACTAATCAAAATTTTAATTTACACTTTCTGAAACTAAATTGAATTACATGTGATGGTTTCTGAATTACACTTGAAAAAGGTGTAGTTATAACTAAAAATATTATAAACAAGTGCTATATCATAAAACACATAGAGATTACCTTGAAATGTTATAATATGGTAGGTAGCTCATAGTTGAATTAAAGATTTTATATAAGCATCTAAAAAAATAGACGTTGAGAGGTCGCAAGAAAAGAGCAAAAAAGAAACATTTTTGAAAAAGAATATGTAAAGTACTGTTTAGCAAATCTTAGTGGAAGAAAATAGTGTTCTTTTATTTGCATTTTTATAATAGTTTGCACAGAATATTTAATTAATAGGTAAATGGGTAGTTTTTCTTTATATTTTCTCGTCTCATGGTAGCCCAAGCTAAGGGCACCATGGGACATAATGTACAATGAAAAAAAAGTTGTTATTTTTATGAACATTCATCTTGGGTTAATTATAACGTTGAAACATATTTGTACTAAAAATTTAATAAAATAAGGATTTTTATAAAAGTTTAAACTTTTTCTGTCTCATAGTGGCCCACCCTACCCTAGACTGTACAGTTACAGAATTAAAATTTCGGGCAGTATTTTTCTGTCACTTCAAAAAGTTCACTGATAGTTATCTTTTACTGTCATCATGACTGACATTTGACAATTAAACTTTTCTGTTGGTGACGCAATTTTTTTAAGTCAAAATGACATAAACATGACAAGAGTAAAAAATGAGGTTATTAATGTAAAGGTGGTTTTAGAGTTTACATTATGAAAATGACAACTCTGCTCGAAATTTTAATTCCGCAACTGTACATACAAAATGGAATCAACTGTGTTGTTTTTCTACATTTTTTTTTAATTATTGTAGAAGATTTAAACCAGTCATTTTGTGTCGATTTTATAATAAGATTTTACCGAAAATCACATGATGGACTAAATAAGTGAATCTAATTTTGCAGGTCTTGAGTGAAGGATGGGCATCCCCATTGAAAGGCTTCATGCGTGAAGACCAATTTCTGCAAACCCTTCACTTCAACTGCCTCTTAGGCGATATGAAAAACACAAACCAGTCAATTCCCATCGTCTTGCCCGTCTCAGCCGCCGATAAAGAACGTTTAGATGGCGCCTCAGCACTTTCTCTTTACCACAACGGTATTTGCTATGCCATTTTACGCAAACCTGAATTTTACTACCATCGAAAAGAAGAACGCGTAGCTCGTCAATTCGGTATTACCTCCAAAGATCATCCTTACATCAAGATGGTATACGAATCCGGTGATTGGTTAGTGGGGGGCGAACTCGAAGTGCTTAAAAGAGTCCAATGGGGTGATGAATTGGACCATTACCGACTCACCCCAAACGAGTTGAGACGAAAATTTAAATTGATGGGGGCTGATGCTGTCTTTGCTTTCCAACTCCGGAATCCCATCCACAATGGTCATGCTCTATTAATGCAAGACACTCGAAGACAGTTGAAAGAGAGGGGTTATCGCAAACCGGTGCTACTTTTGCACCCCCTAGGTGGCTGGACTAAGGACGATGATGTTCCCTTGCACACCCGAATGCTCCAACATCAAGCTGTCCTTGATGAAGGGCTTCTTGACCGATTCTCAACCGTTTTGGCCATTTTCCCGAGTCCTATGATGTATGCGGGGCCCACGGAGGTGCAATGGCACGCCAAATCCCGAATGAACGCCGGGGCTAATTTCTACATCGTTGGGAGAGATCCCGCAGGAGTGCCACATCCACGTGGGAAGGATGCAACTCCTGATGGTAACCTCTACGATGTTACCCATGGTTCACGTGTGTTGAAAATGGCACCTGGATTGAACTCTCTTGAGATTATTCCGTTCCGTGTCGCTGCATATGATTGCAAGAATAAGAAAATGGCCTTCTTTGATCCGGCGAGAAAGGAGGAGTTTGAGTTTATTTCGGGGACAAAGATGAGGACTCTTGCACGAAATGGAGACAACCCACCAGATGGGTTTATGGCACCTAAAGCTTGGAGGGTGCTTGCTGATTACTACCAGTCTTTGATTAAAGATAAATATTAGGGGGGGGGGACCTAAAACATTCCTTGTCTTACTTGTCTCGACTTTTTAAAATTGCTACAGTTTAAATTTCTAAACGGTATTAACACTTAATTTTTGCATTTTTATTTCTTATTACACTATAATCTGTAGGTTTAAAGGAATTTGATTTAGCTTTAAGTTTCATACTTTGTGCAATTGATTAAATTGTTTCACAAAAAATATTAAACTTTTATAAGATTTTAATAGTTTACGTAAACGCATTTCAGTAGTGCTATTTAATTCTTTATAATGAGGGCATGAAATTGTAAATGCACAGCGCCGCACACTGAGCTCAATATTTGAAAAAAAAAAGTTTTATTCCAAACTTTTGCAGGAGTTTTTTAACGGCATAGTCGATAGCTTTATATTATGTATGTGTTATGTTTTAAATATATTTTATTTTATTTTTAATATTTGTGTTCATTTAACATTGTCCTGTTCTACGGATACCTAAAGACGGATACGACACGATGTAAAACAAAACGTCCCCGTTCTCAATAGTTCCGTTAGAAGGCCAGATAGCGCAGTTGTTCCTTTCCCGTTTAAGTTTTAAAAGCAATGAAATAAATAAATGGCTGTATTTACATAACAGTGAACAAAACGCAAATAAAAAAAATATTCACAGATTAAATTCTCAATAATATAAGAAAAAGATAAATGCAAAAATTTTGTTGAAAACTATATTTAAAAAAATTTCAAACAATTAGCAATTTGCGCTCTATCCCATATTTTTGAAAATGCTGCAAATACGGTTAAAGATACAAGAAAAATGTAAAAAAAAGTTCAAAGTTTAAAATCTGTGCTCCGTTTGATGTTTTTCAAGATGCTGCGAATATGGTTAAAAATATAAGAAAGAGAAAGTTGTAGAGAATAAAATTTCAAAGAAAAAAGTCCGCGAGATGAGCGGCTTTAAACGTCTTTGAGGCCTAAACCATTAAAGAAAATTTTATTCTCAACAACTTTCTTTCTTATACTTTTAACCGTATTCGCAGCATTTTGAAAAACATGAAACGGAGCACAGAATTTAAATTAATTTTTTTTTTCTCATATTTCTAGTGAAAAATTTAGTCGTTCATTTTTCACAGCTTATTAAGAATGTAAAGCTCAACATTTTTGCTTCATTTTCCAAGCAATTAGTAAATTGGTTGAATTTAAATTAATTTAAAACGATTTGAAACTGAGACGGTAAAACGCTCTAAGTGAACTCATTTTTACTACATTTTACTATTTTTTTTTGGGTCTAAAAAATCGAGCAATTTTGTATCGCGTTTCGTCTCTGTGTAGTTTTCCGTACCCTGACCACAAGGAATATATATTTTCATTGTCCATGAAGAGTAATTTTGGTCTACGGGAAAGTCATTTAGAACTACTATTCAATGGCGCAAATAAACTACGGACAAACATGCAAAGAACAAGCATAGATGGAAAAAAATTTGGCTTGTCAAAATGGTCCTCACAAATTTAAAAAAAAATGAATTTTTGGCATTGTGTAGTACCAGTTGTTGCAGCTTGGATACTTGCAACAGAATTTCCTTCGAGGAACAATTTCCTTGCACAAAAACCTAAAAGAAAATAAAAATAAGATAGAGACTGTTGTGTTTTAAAACTAGTAGTTAAGCTCAACTATAACATTGACAAAAATAAATAACAAACGTTCTTTTTCATATTTATTTATTTGTATCGCAATAAATTTTCTAACTCTTTGATTTTCTTGGATTGGCGTAGTTGTATCTGCTCAAGAACTTGAATTCTTTTTTTACAATTATCAATCTCTTCATTGACTAAATTCCTACTTCCAGACATGATATGATCTGGAGAAACAGAAGTTGCCCTCGAACTACAACGTGGCTCTGACGATTCCATTTCTGTTTTTATGTCTGAAACATCTACAATGTTGTCTTTAGAATGTCAAAACTCCTACATACCTAATATTTCAGTTTTCACTTCAATTGAAGTATCATCTTCCGTTTCAAAAAATGATTCAATTTTTATACAATCATCTATCTCATTATCAGACTCTACTTCTGTTTTAATAGCCTCGTCCACTGCTAATTCTTGTGTTGTTATTTCAGATGTTTGAGTTGATGAAGACTTTTTTTCTCTTTTCCAGTGTAGTTCAGGCATTGCTTCTGCTCCTCCCTTCTGAAAAAATAAATAAATAATTAACTAAAACTAACTCGGTCTAAACATTTTTTTCCGAAATCGTCCGAGGGGTAATATAGAAGAGCCCGCAAGGATCATGAAGGTTTTAGATGAAAAGGAGACAGCATTGTTACAGTAAATTGTACAACACAAAAGTGAAAAAACGAGTTCATAAACTAATGTCGAAAAAATTCTATACAGCGAGTTGAAAAAGTCCATTAGTGACCCTTAAATGATAAAATTTAAAAAAAATCATATACTAGGACATTGATAGACACTAATCTAATCCATCGCCTAAAATTATTTTAAACTATACAGCGTGTCTCAAAAATAAGTTACAATACAAACTTGTGTTTTTTTAAATGAAACATCATATGTTTCTTAGCGTTTTTGGATGTAGATTTTTATGACAATGTTGTTAAGCTAAACTTTTATTGGTCGATTTTGCTTAGTTTTAAAAATAAGACGGTTTGACGAAAACATGCACTTTTTAAAAAATTATTACACAAAAACTAAACATCTAGAAATAATTTTTTTTATTACTACCGCAAAGAAGAAGGTACAAGTTGCATTTAAAAGATTATTCAATTGTATTTCGAAAATTATTTACTTTTAGGTGTTTATAATCAATAACCAAAAAGATATTTAACGTTAACCATTAAAAAAGCCACTTAATTACTATTGTTTCAGTAGCCAAAAAGTGCACAGTTGCACAAGAGATGGAAGAAATATCAAATAAAAAATAGAGTGTTCCATTAAATTTTTTTAAGTTATTTAACTTGTAAGAAGCTTCTTAATTTATGAATATTTACAAAAGCAAAACACTAAAAAAATGCTAGTTTTAAAAGAAAAGAAGAAAAAATTTGTTCCAGCTTGTGTAATAAATTTTTTAAAAGTGCATGTTTTCGTCAAAAAACGCCTTATTTCTAAAACTAAGCGAAATTGACTAATAAAAGTTTAGCGTAAAAACATTGTTTTAAAAGGCTACATCCATAAAGAAACATAGGGTGTTTTAAAAAAGTTTGTATCGAAACTTATTTTTGGGAGATGCTGTATGGTTGAAAATAATTTTAGGTGATACACTAGATTATGTCCTATACATTATTTTTTTTATTTTACAATTTAAAGGTCGCTAATGGACTTTTTCAACTCGCTGGGACACTCTGTATAATGGAGACCATAATTCAAGAGGATGAGAGAATTATCTTACACTTTCATCAATATAAGAAGTGCTTTCAGTGATGTCGCCTCTTCCACTCACCAACAAAGTTCCCAAGGACTTGCGAAAACAGTGTGAAGTATACAATTCTGGATTTGGCAGTTTCAAATATATTGCGACTTCCTTTACCATTCCACCAATTTTATTTATACCAATCCTTTGAATAGTGCATTTGCCCTTCTGATAGTTTAAAAAGAATGTGCTAGTTGACACATTACGGGGGCGGAGAGACAAATATTTTTTACAAATTTTGTAGAAATTATCTGTTAGTGTGAAACGTCTTGTCACCTTTGTCCTGGTATTGGGTACTGTGACGGAAAAAGATGTATTTAAGTCTTGTATGTCTTGCACTTGCATTGCGTATAATTCATGTTTAGAACAAGATCCTACAATTCCCATTATAAGACCAACCTTTAAAAGTAAATGACATCAATTAAAACTCTCAATTCATAAATCAATTTCTACCTTTGTTGCCAGATATTTTGCATCAGGGGCCTCGGCTATAAATTTATTTATTTGTTCAGGACTGAGTGTTTTCGCTTTTTTTGGTTGATAATTTTCATTTTTTCGTTTCAAAAATATACGTAATTTTTGATATTCTTCTATCCTGATGTTGTGATGAATTTTAAGAGTTCTACGTAACATGGAATAGTAAGTCCATAGTGTATTAGATTTACATCTGGTTGATAAATCTTCGAAATATGCTAAAAGATCTTGTTCTGAAAAAGAGTTAATTTGCTTTTTCAGTCTCCATTCCATAAATTGGCTGTACGTAATTTCATATCTCGATTTTTCTTGTAATAGATTAAATGAGGTTATGTCAGCCGTTCCCATTATTTCTTTATCACTTTCCATTGGATTTAGTACTATTCAGTCTCAATTTTCGATTCAATTTTAAAACTATTCAAGCAAGACCGATAACGAGTCGCGGAGACAACAACACAACATGCACGTATTGACAGTTCTGTGGTTTATGATAAGTCACTAGTGACTTATTACCACTTATTACTATTGTATTACATAACGAGCACGGAAAGTGACAAATAACGCACAAGTGTGTTAGACACTTTCCAGCAAGTTATGTATTAATTAAGCTGATTTAGGTTTAAATAGTCGGAGGTTTTAATTTGGAACTACTATTAAGTTGCGCAAATGAACCACGGACGTTTGACGTTTTAACATAACCTCAATTTTAACATCAACAAAACTTGTTCTGTGATAACAATTTTTTTAGTAACATGTCTCTGACAAGGCACGAGAGTATTTTAACAGGAATTTTGTTCCTCCCCTGTGTTTATATGTTCAAGAAACTTTACACAACATACAAGTCTTTAAAAAGGCAATATGAGGAAGAAGAGCTTTTTTACGAAAGACACAACTGTGTTGTTATGTACTCCAAGACGCACATTACTGGCTGGCCCCCCGAATATAAAATAAGTATTTTGACGAAAAATTTGGACAAGTTTTTGGAGCCTTATTTGTATTTTATAAATACATCAAAACACAGTATAGACCTAGCGGTGATGACCCTTGCAATAAATTCTATAATGGAGGCTTTACAAAATGCCTTAAAACGTGGGGTAAAAGTGAGATTGATCGTGAATTTTTTATCTATCAAAAGTCAAGCCAAAAGATACAATGAATTAATTAAATCAGGTAATGAAATTACGTGAAATTCTTAAAAATTGATTTTTATTTTTTAGGGATTAAAGTGGCCTTTTTTATCGGAAAAAGTACTAATTTCATTAATATTATGCACTTTAAATATATCGTTAAAGATTATGATGGCACTGATGGGTTCTTATGTATGGGTTCAATGAATTTAACTGGAATGTCGACATTATTAAATAATTATGAAGATGTTACTTTTACTTCAAGTATTTGTCTCGTTGAAGCTTTTCATAAGAATTTTCAAGAGTCGTGGAATATGATAATGGAAGATAATGAAAATATTTACAACAAGACTGTACTAGCTGATAATGGTTTTTCCTTGTGAAATTTAATCCTTACAATTATCATATTTGGAACCTGTTTTTTTTCTTCTATTATTTTAGAATTTTTCTTTTTTGTTTAACTCACACTCATAAAATAAAAGACTTACTTTGTTATGTTACAAATATAAATAAACTGTTCAAATTAATAAATTGTGTTCCGTAATCGCTTTGCGTTTTATAGGTTTAAAACATTTATTACCAATCAATTATTAATTTAACCCTTCATCTAGTATGTTAGTACAATAAAAATATACAGGGACATTTTTTCAACATTTTCAGTTTAAAAAAGCACAGATCAATGCATTGCTGCCATTCAATAATAGTAAAGTAAAAGTAAACGTCATTGGAAATATAGAAGTTTTTGCTCGTTTCATGTTTTGAACTTTTTTTGAAAACGCTCCACATACAATTAAACAGTAAAATGTGATTAAATACAAAAAATTGCACCCCAGTGTGTAATCCGGTAGGTGGCACTAACGCAAACGTTAGATTTGCTACTAGAATTTCCAACACTACCTTATTGTCGTAATTTTTTTTCCAAATAAGTAGGATAAGGAAAGTCGTGTGATGTTCACACCAGTTTCTGAAGGCCCCTTCAGAACACTTTGTGTTTTTTAATCACTTTGTCCCAATTTTAAAGATACCTATATTTAAAAAGAAAATATTCTCATGTCAAAGTCATCTACATATTGATTTTAAAGAAAAATTTATGTAAAAACTGTATTTATTAATAAATTACGATTATAGGCGACTTTACCCTGTTCTAGCAACAATAAAGAATTAGCAGATAGAACTGTCAAAAATTTAAAAGAATTATGTGAAAAATTGGGCCACTTCAGCACAAAAATGAACACGGTTTCGTCCAAACAAATCCGGACAAGATTATATTAAAAATGCCTTATGACCCCCAGCACAACAGTTAAAACATTAGAAATTCTGTCCTATTTTTATTAGGTAGAACGTATGCTATACAAACTCATGTAGATTTTAAACGAAAATTGATAGATTTTTCCATGAGGGCAAAACACCCTGTCTGTAAAGAATAGTTTACCTAACGTCCCAACGAGTTTGAGAAAATAAATTTCTTCTGAGCTATGAATACAAAGATTATTTATTCAGCCAAATCAATATACTATAACAAATAATACACTACTGTATTACACTATCCGCACTACTTAAACTGCGATCATCGGAATCCCAGCTACAAAAATAAAACCATGAGAAAATGAAACTTATGTTCGATTTTTGGTTGTACTTTGAATGCTGGTCATAAAAGCATCCTTGTCGTCTTTTCTATCAAATTGTATAGACATTTTGTGAAATAATCTTGATCGCCCTTTACCTTCAAATACCACAGTAGTATCAGTTTCAGTACTGGAAGCAACCCGATTTTTCAAATAAATCACACCAAACACCCCAGAAGAGACAAGTCCCGAGTCTGCTACTATACTGCAACGATACGGTTCTTCATCATTGATGGAAAACAAACATTCAACTGTGAAAGGCATTGCAATTAATGTTTTTCGTTGCTTATTCACGAGCGAACGCTGGAAATCTTGTAAACTTTTTAAAGCCGATAAGCTGACTCCGTACTTTTTTGTATCCATTTTTATCTGGAAGAGATAGTTTTTTACATATTTACTACATTTGTAAAATTGATACACAATAATAATAATAAGAAGAATAATAACACAATAATAAAGTGTCTTTGTTAACCTCTTTTTTAGTTCTTTAAGAGCATAACAAGCTGTACTTATTTTTTTGCCATATTGTCGAGTTACCCATCATCCAAAAAAATACCCAGAAATTTCGTATTAGTTTCAAGTTTTATGTTAAAAGAATTAGTACTTGTGTTGTCCATGGCATTTTTGTTTTTATTATTACAAAAAATACATATTTAGTCTTTTCTAAATTTAAGCGTAATTTAGGCACCTGAAACTATTTTTTTAAACTTGAGGTAAGATTATCTGCGTTTTTAAAAACCTCTTTTGAGTCATTAGCCGAAATTAAAACACTCGTGTCGTCAGTATAATTTATCATTTCCCCCCAAAATTATATGTATGTACAGATGTCCCAAGTTTCAATATTAAAATGTTAATTACTCAAAATTTATCAACTTTCACATTATTCAATTTTCACAGTTATCAGAAAAAATCAACAAACTTTATTATGTAAAAAAATCTAATTAATTTTTTTTTCCAAATTTGGTTTTTAGAGTCTCACTGACATACGCTATAAATTTTGAACAACATGAAAGCATGAAATTGAAGTCTGTATAATCCTATATCGTTTGCACTAGCAATTTTTTTTAAACAAATAAGTATAAATATTTATTTTTGCGCCGGACGGGGACCTAAAACTTGATATACCCTGTATACAGGGTGCGCCAGAACTCGCGCCCCAGAGAAAATTTTCAAGTAAGGTAAGATACCAGGAACATGAAAAAAATGTTTAAAAAATTTTATCTGTCAAAAAATTTTGACATTTACTTTTTGACATTTGACATTTTTTTATATCTATTTAATGATACTGATGATCTTGTATATGTTTTTTTACAATTATTTAGTAAAGGGACAAAAATTTTGCCAATAAAAGCCACAAATAACATTGAACAGAGTTACAATTTAGGATACAGCTTCCTTGTTTCCTCTTTTAATAGCCTATAGCAAAAAAACTTGGAAAATTATTTTTCCAACAGAAATAAATAGAGTCAAAGTGCAAACTTTAAACCCTCATAACTTCGAAATTTTTATAGATAAAATTTTTTTAACATTTTTTCCATGTTCCTGGTATCTTACCTTATATGGCATTTTTCTCTGGGGCGCGAGTTGTGGCGCACCCTGTATGGTGCTGTGGGCCATTCTGTGCTTTTTTTCACGACTAAATTGTCAAATGAGCAACGATGTGTTTCATAAAACCATTTGGCCACATTTGTTGTTCTTTGACAAGTTTTCCAGTTAAGCTGAGAGTCGCGAGTTCTAACGCACCCTGTATATAGCAGTAGTAGTTGAGAGATCTTTCCTGAAGCCGTGTTGAGAGTTAGAGAGAATCTTTTTGGCAGCGGAAAAAGATGTAACTTTTTCTAATATTAATATCTCGAAGACTTAAGAAAAACATGGAATCAGGCTAATTGGTCTGTAGTTTTCCATTAGAGATGTATCTCCTTTCTTAAAAAGCGGCTTAACCACAGATGATTTTAATAAAGTTGGAAAACTTCCCTGTTCAAAAGAAGTGTTTATTATGAAAGTAAGAGGACGTACTATAAAAGATGACATTTTTTTAATTAACATGTTAGGGATATTATTATATCCTGACGAGTTCTTGGGATTAAGTCTACTTATTGCATTTTCAACTTCAGCTACTGAAACAGGAAATAGAACAAAAGATTCAGGTATACTAAGGTTTTTGAAACCACCCTTTTCATCAGAGTATGTTGATTTGAAATTTGAACTTACTGACAAAAAGTAATCATTAAATAGCTCGGCCATAGCCTGAGGATCCTCTATGCTGTTATCATTATTGCTACTTTTTGAACTTTTTCTATTAGCGTTAATTCTATTCCACATTGATCTTGATTTGTTATAAGATCTACTAATGTAATTGTCATTATATTCCTTTTTCTTTTTAAGTAATAAGTTTGAATAATGTGCTTTATATAAGGTGATTCACGAGGAATAATGAGCCTGACCAAATTCTCGATGCAACCACCATTACTCTTCGCAAGTTATTTTGCGACAACTGTAATGTTGGTTGCATCGAAAATTTGATCAGGCTCATTATTCCTCGTGAATCACCCTGTATTGATTATATACGACTCTAAAATTTGGATTTATCGAGCAAAGTTCTGCCAAAAAGCAGACCGTCCTTTTAGAGGAAAACTGTTTTCAAAATAATTTACAATACAATGTATAAATATTTTAAATTGATCATCAACGTTATTAGAAGCATATAAAGCTGTCCAATCATGACTATTTAACAAGTTAAAAAAGCAATCGTAGTTTTCTTTTTTACAAATGCGAACATATTCATAATAATTATTATGACAGTTAATAGGTTCACTATAGCATAAAATTTGTGCCAAGTGATCATAGAATACGTACCAGATCAATTAAATCATAAACCAAATAACAGAAAATCTAACAAACTGTCGTCTGTATTAATAATCGTAATAAATATATAACATTACTGACTGCAACACTGCGACACTTGTCATTTGTAAATGTTTGTAAACAATGATGTCAAATGTCAATGGAGTATGAGCGTATGGTTATGTTATCAGCCGTGCAGGATTGTATATTGTGTTGCATACCTTATACCTTAGCGGTTTTTCTCTTTTATTATTTCATTGGCGGTATCTGAATCTGATTTAAATGATGAAATAAAATCAAACTCCAGTGATGAAAGAAGTAGAAGTATTGGAGGCTGTCATTGGGGTATAGTCCCGAAAATCGATGAAGGTCATCAACGTTATTGGCACAAATTTAAAAAAAAAAACGATAGTACACGGTGTTTCACGTAATTTTACGAGGCCTGCGCCTGTAAAATGCAAAATTTTGAAAAATTGGATAATTTTCCGTAGTTTGTTCACCCTTTCAAAAATTACAACGTTTTTAGTGAGTTAGTGATTAAGATAGGTAAACTAGAATCATATTCATGCCGTCTCTTGATAAAACAAATGATAATTGTTCCTGAAAAACTGCAGTTTATGACTATTAATGATACAGTGAGTAGTTTGACAACTACTGTCATGGGTTTCCAAAAATTAAATAATTAAATGAGTATTGTTTGTATCCAGTGTTCTGTGACTTTTGTATACAGGCTGCGCAAGAATTCGCGCCCCAGAGAAAAATTTCAAGTAAGGTAAGATACCAGATACATGAAAAAAATGTTTAAAAAATTCTATCTGTTAAAAAAATTTGACATTTATTTTTTGACATTTGACATTGTTTATGTCTATTTAATGAGACTGATGATCTTGTATATGTTTATTTATAATTATTTAGGAAAAGGAAAAAAAAATTATCTAGTAAAGATACAAAAATTTTGCCCATAAAAGCCACAAATAACATTGAACAGAGTTACAATTTAAGATACAGCTTCCTTGTATCCTCTTCTAACCCTGAAGCAAAAAAACTTGAAAGATTATTTTTCCAACAGAGATAAATAGAGTCAAAGTGCAAACTCTCATAACTTTGAAATTTTTATAGATAAATTTTTTTAAACATTTTTTCCATGTTTCTAGTATCTTACCTTACATGGCATTTTTCTCTGGGGCGCGAGTTCTGGCGCAGCCTGTATTTGGGTGCGTACATTAGGTGCAAGCCTCGTAAAGTTATGTGAAACATCCTGTATATAAAGAAAAGAGACTAATTAGGTTAGCGACTTTGGTATTAGGTATACTTACCCAGATTTATATAATTTACTCCTAATGTGTTTTTTTTATTTGGAATACTTAGATAGTACAGTTGCGGAATTAAAATTTCGGGCAGTATTGTCATTTTCACAATGTAAACTTTAAAACAACCTTTATAACCTTATTTATTACTCTTGTCATGTTTATGTCATTTTGACTTAAAAAATAGCGTCACTGACAGAAAAGTTTAATTGTCAAATGTCAGTCATGATGACAGTAAAAGGTAGTTTACAGTGAATTTTTTGAAGTGCCAGAAAAATACTGCAGGAAATTTTAATTCCGTAACTGTACATTAATAAAAATTTTAAAATTCTTTAGGTCAACAAATAAAATTTTATTTTTAGAGGTGAATTGCATAGTAAAACATTATTGTGATTACTTGAACGTTGAGTTTTCAATTGATCAAACCAACAATTAAATTGTATCCAAGCACTTTTTTATTCACACCTTTCTTTTAAAATTAAAAATCAGGCTATGCGACCCATTTCCTTATATAATTCTAAGATTTAAGATGTTTTCTGATTGCATTGTATTACGCAAAATGTAATAAATAGTGGTTTACCGTATCTTTCATGTCAATTATTATTGTTTCGAGGAAAAAACATAGGTGTTCCATTTGAAAAACTAAATTTGGTAGCATTTCCGGCAACACCGGATGTGCTAAAAAAATTTGATACATTTACTAACAAAGACAAGAATGAATATTAATACTTAAATATTTACTTTTTGAAAAAAAGAAGTAAGTTTAGGTGTTATCAGTCGGGGCGATTTGGACCGAACATCCTGTTATTATATACACACCCTGTATATAATAAAAAAGAGAGGCCTTGGAGAAAACAAAAAATTTCATTCAAAAAAAAATTAATAAATAATAGAGAATAAGAATAAATAAGTATTATAAAAATTATTAAATTTGAATGAATTTGATAATAAGAAAATAATAAACAAAATCAACTTAAGAGGCCATTTCATAGCTGTGATATGATTACATGTAACTTACATTTATAAATTATAACATTGAAATGAAAAAATTAATAATAAAAATTGATTAATAATATAAAAATTATAAAATTGAGTTAATGGCTAATAGATAATTATGACCACGAATTCAGTAAAAATTAAAGTTTGAAATTGAAAAATGTGACTTGCGAAAACAAAGGGAAGAGATTGGCATTATAAATCTCGGTGGGCGTAAGGTCGAAGTCAGAAAAAACCTTATTCGAGATACAAAATAGGTCGTAATTGGTCAAGTGGTCCAGGCGTTCCCTTTATAGTAACAATTAGACGGTTTCAAGTGCCACTTGTTCTCCAGATGGTTACAAAACAAACAATTTGCTAATTAAAGGAAGAGGGAAGTTACAGGGTTTGTGCTCTTAAGACAATTTGCACGACACATAAATGGACAAAAGGGTTTTAAAACCGTACCGAGGGGCCCTACAACTTGGTATGACAACACAAGAAGAACATGAGCACTAAAATTACCCGGAGAAGATTCCCGGGGACGGTATTTAATGCTCCGGGGCTCCCCACTCCTTTTAGCCCCTTCACAGCCAGACAACACAACTAACTCGGATAACAGAGAGGAAACAAGCCTGATTCAACTCCCTCCAAAATTGGGGCTAGCGATAAAAAGGGAAAATCAAAGTAAAACGGAAACTAAACACCAAATACCAGGAACAGGTGACGTAAACAGTTAAGGTACGGCAAAGTTTAAGCATTTACGGACCAGCGAAAATGGAGTTTGGTTTATTATACGATGTATTTCACAGAGTTTAACGAAATAAAATAACGAAATAAAACTGTTACAGCGAATTACATTATGATAATAGAGATTGAAAGTACCTAATACAAATTGTGAGTATCACACACCAAATTATCAAATTTATCTCGAAGTCAAGATCGAACACAATAGGAAACTGCTAACAGAAACTACCTTATAACAGACTTTTTATTAAAGAAATAAAAATGTTGGACAAAAAGTAATTATTTCTTTTTTCTCGCACTTTCGTCTAAAAAATTCAATTTTTAATTATAAAAATGTTTGAAAAAAGTACTTACCCCCGAGAATATATTTATCAATACTGAGCATTGGGAATTCAAAAGCTAACACCCATACAACCGCCAGTATCATAGTCACTATAATGTGGCCACACCAGTTATAAAACTACAAAAAATTACATAAAATTTCACCAGATGATATGGTAATTTTTATAATGATTTGGTGAAAACTTTTGCAGAAATTCTAATTTCTGATAATTTTTTAGAAACGTAAATGTAGTTAAGTACAGCAGAAAATTAATGTATTTTGAAATATTTTTTTTAATCGAGTATTCGCCCAAATGTCAGTAAAATTAACTTTTTTAATTATTAATATAGTAAATTCAGTCAAAAATTATGACACTTTGAAAAGTCGAGAGATACATAGTTTTGTTTTTCTAAATAATATTTCACTCAACAAGGTAAAAAAAATCACTAAAATATGCCAAAAAGTACATTATTTTGTCTATTTTCTGATCGTTTTAGTACGTTTTTAGCCAGAAACAGAACTTTTTTGCAAAATTTTGTTAAAAACAAACCGACAGTTTGTCAAAACTAGTATTATTTTTGCATTTTTAGAGTGTTTCAGCACGTTTTTAAAATACATTCAAATTTTTGCTAAAACTGACCGAAAAATTACCAAATTAGATGGAAATTGATATCATTTTAGCGTGTCTCGCTCGATTTCGTTCGTTTTTGAACCAAAGACTCATTTATTTTACAGGATATTGTCAAAATATGCTTAAACACAACAAAAATAAATCATTGATGTTATTTCGTTTGTTTCATTCGATTTAGCTTTTTTGAGTGAAATTTTGTCAAAAAAAATCGGACGAAAAATATAAAATATGGTCGAAAATGATGTTGATTGAAAACAAAACAAAACAACATCAAGTTAAGTCATAATCTTTACCTTATCAAGTAAAACGTTAATATCGGGCAAGTGTAAATGATTTGGTGTCAAATTTAATTTGGCAACCTTGACTTTCAAATCCAAACGTCAAACTTTTATAGGCAATTGTCATTCATTTGTGACGGGCGTCTGCTGATTTAGCCGTCACCTGAAACATTTTTTTGATATAATAAATTTAGAAGGATTATCATTAATTCAATGTTACCAATACTTTTTTGTTACCCGGTATTTCGCAAAATTTAATAAAAAACTATCCAAAAAATTATAAAATTAGGCTAAATGAAATAGCGTTACCTATTTTTGAATTTTTCGAGCATTTAAGCACTTTTTGAGGAGAATCTTCGACATCAGTATTAAAAAAATTAAATCATATAAGCTTATAATCTAGTGAAAATAGGTGTAAATCTGATAACTTTTCAGCTCAGATCTGGTGAATTTAATTATTTTGAGCTGCCAACACTGACATTGACGCACTTTCCGTAAAACAGACTTACCAACACATAATTGCTGAAATAGTTGGGAGTCTTTAAAATTCCCAACGCGTAAATTTCCACCATTATATGCAAAACGTACATACAATAAGACAATCGTCCTAAGATCTGAAAGATCGGTCTTTGCAAAAACCATTGTATAATTCCACCTTGGTTGTGATAACACGAATAGACCATAAAAACCAAACATAAACACCAAACCGGTCGATAAAATCCATAAAAAAGTGAATATTTCACAAGCTCATAATTCGTATTAACATCAAACCAAAAAATTATCAATGCTAAAGAAACTACAATAACTAGAATCCAGAGTGCAACATTCACCCACTGAAATTAAAAATTGTGATTACAAATTGTAATTTTCAAAGACTCACAGGCTTGAAAATGTAGGGTTTTTGTTTTTTCATACGCAACGTGGCCCCAAAAATCATCCCAATTAGATAATTATTGAATCTAGTGTGTGTTGCGTTTGTGCTGAAATCAAAAGGTTGAAGTTCGAGCCCGGGTTCAGGCTAATCATTTTTTTTTCTCACATTCCAGGTCCTTGATCGACAAAATTCTGTAAAAGTATGGGAACCACAATTGATATAATTGTTAGAGTTACTAGTGCTTGTATCACAATTTTAAATCGCTTTTTGATAAAAAGAGCCATTGGTATAAGAACCAAAGGTGCTAAAATGAACATCTGCATGTCAGCTGAAAGGTACCATGTTGGAGGGAGACACTAAAAGCGATATAATAATTTGTAAAAATTTTCAAAATCGGGTTAATTACTTACTATTTCATCAGGATCAATGTAATTTTGTACATAAAGGAAAAACTGCCACCATTTTTTTTTACAAACTCGCTTCATTAAATCTGCAATGAGACTCCAAATGGGTCCGCTGCCAAAAAATCGAAAAATTGTGATTGTAGCAAGATACAAAGCTGCCACACTTGGTATAAGTCTCAAATATCGATGTAGATACATTTTAGGAACTTTTCGTACTTGATCCACGAATTTTTCATCACATGATTTTTTCAAATAAGTAAAAGATTGTAAAAAACCAGTAATGAAAAAAAATGTATCAACAGCAAGTGGTCCAGCTGCAATGTATTGTGAAGTCCAATTTTGAGTCCACTTTTTCGCATCTGGGTAATTTTCCAAAGGAATTCCTCCCACTTCATAGGGACTTTTAGCATGCAAAGCCAACACCCACATCATACTAATAAATCTCATTCCGTTAAAACACTGAATTTGTTCAGTTGTATTGTCACTAATAGCGAGCAATTTTTTCCCATTTGTGAGAATCGAAAATGAGAAAAGAATTGGATGAAGAGGCTCACTTTTGAAATTTTGACACAAAGCTTCATATCCAGTACTAGCAATCAACAAAAGCCCAATCACCACAAAAAAAACCCTAAAAACAAATTGTTTTTGTGTCTTTCAAGGAAAAATAATTAAAGTCGGGGTCAATTCATAGTGGCTATTTAATTTAATGCAAAGTTGGCAGCCCCGTCACCTCTAGTGTGTGTTGGCAGCAGAAGTGACTAACTTGTGTCAACAATTGTGACAGGCGAAAAGTCGGATTTACACAACTCAGTTTTTAGAAATTTACTATGAATTGACCGCAATTTTACATACATTGCTGCAATATCTCCAACTTCGTAATCAGTATTTGAATTGACTGTTTCACACGGTAAATTCGTGTAAATTATCAACGAAACGTTAAATAATCGCCCGATAATGTCATTGAAATGCCCGTACAAAAAAAAATAGCCCACTTCACGAGGGGTGCAAGCGTCGGGAACACAATTCGAGTATTTCGAAAGGACGTAAGGAATATCGGGGACTAGAACATCCCGCAATTTCGCTTGCAATTTCGGAACGAGTTGGAAAGAAATCTGTAAAAGAAAAAAATACAACAAGTATTATCGTTTCAACAAGAAATTACTCCCTAGGATTTAGGGATATTCGTGAATAGGTTGCCATAGATTTGGTTAGGTTGGTTTTTAGTGACAAACAAAAGACAAGACAAGTGTCAAATTATTTAGGTTAAACGTCAACCGTCAACAATAAATGGTAACCAACTCTAGTCATTCAAAGTTACTTCTGAAAATTCTAGTTACAAATAACATGGAAAACGTAATTTTCCTAAAAATTTAAATCCTAGGTGGTAATTTCTTGTTGACAAATCTTTAGGTTTTGTTACACCTCTCACCTCTTGTGTGGGTTTAGTTGTGTCAATGTTGAAACTTTTCAAAATTTCGTCGATTTGTGGTGTCAATAAAACATTAACGATAATCACAGAATAGCCACAATATTTCCCGATAATTTCACCGTTGTTGTAATTAATTGAGAGGCATTCGGGGAAGTTGCCATAATCCAATACGTTGCTATAGCTCATTCCAGGTATTAGAAATTTTGACGATGCGTCAAACACTGAAATTATTGATTTTTGAAAAGTATACTCCTAATTTTTATGACAAAAATTAAAACATCATCGAAATCAGTGTTTTATTTTCTATCGACTGGTGAAATCATTAGTGTTGCCAGCTCAAAACAATTAAAAATCAATTAAAATCAAACCTCAAGTTATCAAAGCAATTAAATTCACCAAATCTGAGCTGAAAAGTTACCAGATTTATTTTCACCACATTACGAAATTATATAATTTAAATTTTGTTAATGCTGCCGAAGATTTACATTTTTTACATTAATTTCCATAATTTTCCATGTTATTAAAATTAAATTAAATTTTTATGAATTTGGTAATTTTTCAGTCAGTTTTAGCAAAAATTTGAATGTATCTTAAAAACATGCTGAAACACTCTAAAAATGTAAAAATAACACTACTTTTGGCCTAATTTGATAAATCTTCGGTTTATTTTTAACAAAATTTTGCAAAATACTTCTGTTTCTGGCTGAAAAACGTACTAAAATGCTCGGAAATAGACAAAGTAATGTACTTTTTGACCCATTTTAGCAATTTTTTTACCTGGTTGAGTAAAATATCATTTAGAAAAAGAAAACTATCTCCCGATTTCTCAACTTGTTTTTGAGAAAATTTAGCATTTGAGTTTGTGCATAACTAAAAAAACGTGCAAAATGTTCAAATAAATCCAAAAAAACTAGTATCACCATTTTTGACTGAATTTACTATATCAATAATTAAAAAAAAATCAAATTAAAAAAGTCAATTTCACTGACATGTGGACGAATATTCGATTTAAAAAATAAATTCAAAAGTGTTGAGCACTTACTTTTCCAAGCCAATTCCGAATTGTTACACACGACTTTTAGTTGTTTCAAACAAGGGGCACTAATATTGTAGGCCAACGTTTCGTAAAAATCACATAGACCATCAGCATTATTATAATGAATAAAAGAAACGAAAAATATTAATAGAAAAAATGTTTTTACGTTCGCCATTTCTACACATTAAAATGTTTGTAAATAAAATACTTGTCAATGAATCAATGATAATATTTTAATAGGATTTTTGTTTTTTATCATAAATTTCGTGTTATCAATAGTACATCGTTGAATTACTCAAAAGTTTTAGTTAAGATTTTTATCAGATTAGATGAGGTGTGTGATTATATTTAATTATTTTTTTTTACTGATAGTCACGGTGTAAATAAAATATTTATGTGATGCAGCGAGCCCTGCAAACGTGTGGCCAAACCGGTCTCGCTCAATTTAGAAAGAGATAGCGTAATCGGGCCATCATTACTATCAACAATAAATGAAGGAATGGACCGAAAAGTTGCAGTTGTATAAACGATAATAGTTATATTTTTTTAATACAAGTTCATATAAAAAATACACGTCATATACCTACTACCTATACATCTGAATTTAAATTATATAAGAAATATTATCTAAATGATAAAGCTTTGCTTGAATTTATTTTTATTACATGTGTTTCTGTTGCGAAACGTAAAAGAAACACATATTGAATTTTACTTGAAAACAGTTATTATATTAAATAATTAGTAAATTAGTAGGTAATTTTAGGAAACGGTTTATCGAAGACAAAGATTTTTCAAGAACATAAATAGCTACATATTTCGTAGGAGCATATTCTAAGGGCCAGTTGCATAATCGAATTTAAAGGAGCATTAAATTAAATGTTGTTTAGAATGTGCTAATTACTACGGGCTCCTTGAGCAAAACATTAATTTTAAAGTCTTTTTAGGTCGATCATAGAACTGGACCTAAGTAAAATTTAATTCTAAATTTTAACTTATTGGGAATTGTAAAACTGCCGTAACACACCATCAATTTATCAAAAATGTGTTATTAATTAATTCAGTTTTTGGACTGTAGTTATTTTTGTATCCAGAGAAAAATTAAATCAGAGAGATCAAATATATAAAGTTCGGTGACCAGAAAAAAGCCCACACGGAAAATGCGCACAGGAAAAAAGCCCACAAACATAAATGCCCACAAAAAAACACAAACACAGAAAACAGCTCGCATGAAATAATGCTCACAAAGAAAAAAACCCACGTCGAATAAAACTCACATGGAAAAAAACTCACAAGGAAAGAAACACAGTGATAAAATCCCACATGGAAAGAAACCCACACCGAAAAAAGCCCACACGGATAAAAACTCACATAAAAAAGCTCACACAGAAAAATACTCACTTACCAAAAAACCCACAGAGAAAGAAGCTCACTATAAGCGGTAGTTGGTGTAAATGGGTATTACGTTTTCTCTCTAGTTTCTATTCGTTAGTAAACTCTTTTTTTGTACTCCTCTACTTTAAAGATAACATTTCGTTTCAATTTATAGGATAGATATTTTTTATTTATTTCCTTTCAATTTTTTGTGTGCGCATTTTTCGTGTGGGCTTTTGTCTGGTCGCCGTGAATATCAAAGCGGTTTATGAGTTTCAGCAAGGTCGACGATTTTGATTTTAACTATCCAAGAAAGGTTTTTTTTCAAATAATTAGGTCTAGATTATCGTAAAAGAATGCGGTATTAAAATTATCGCAAGACTATGGTATTTGGCGCTGCTTTAATTTCAGGTTTCAGGTCATCTGAAACAATGATTCGATACCATTTTATGTGCGTTAACTATATGCTGGCTTTGCGCTTAGGAATTTGTTATCATTCATCTAACGTGACTTATCTAAAACGCAATAACGTTTTTAAACAAAAATTGATATGACGGAAAGTATGTACAAATAAATGAATATAATAATAATACTTTCATTATTTTGATTTTATTGATTGTATTTTTAAAATCGCATAAAACGATTGATGATAATGTCTGCCACTTTAATTTCTTGATTACTGAATAAGTACTGTTTTATTACTGCTTACTGAATAAAAACAGTAAAGAATTATTTACTACATTTAGTGACAAAGTTAGATTAGGAGGATACTGAATTTGGGTATAAAGATTAAAAATTAACGTAGGTATTTATTATTACACAAGGTGACAAAAAAAGTCATGTCGTGACAACTTGACAAATTTTATATCATTTTGTTCGTCTCAGTGAGACAAATCAAATGCACTAAAAAAAATTAAAAAGACCACACACTTTGTAAATGAATTTAAAATACTTTAACTTTAAAAAATCATTACTCAATAACTATTAGGCCGATTTCCTTCAAATAAAGACCATTCTAAAGGGATGGTCTTGCCCTTTAAAATGATATAAAATTTTAAATTGAATATTGGCAAACTTTTCTTCGAACAGTGTTCGAAGAAGTTCGAAGTAATTCAAATTGTATGTTTGTTTTTTGTTGATATTATTTTACTTTTTGGATAAAATAAACTCTTGAAATTGTTCTGTAAAAAACAAAAAAAAATATTTATTACTATTATTACTAGGTAACTTTTATATGTACTTCCTAATAGTTTTTACTTTATCAAAATTGTGTGTCGTAGGTACGTTGTTAAAGTTAAGTTTATTGATGCGTGCAAAAAAGATAAATATGTAAATATACTCGTTTTCATATTAATGTGCATCGAAGTAGTCGTTGAAAGGGATCATTTTAAGGTGGCAACCATGCGAAAATTCAAACAATCCTAAACTCAATTTTCCCTAAAAATTAATTTTTCAAATAAATGTATACTCCAGGTAGCAAAAAATAGTTAAAATTAACAACGTAATCAACATAGAATAGGAAAAATAAAGATTTTTGTCATTATTGATGTGATTAAATTTGTTTTGAATGATACTGATGATTTTGTATATGTTTTTTTTTCAATTATTTAGTAAAGGTACAAAATGTCGAATGCTGATAATCTACCTTGTACCTCTCCAGAAAATGCTGAAAAAGCGAAAGGGACAAGAAAGAGACAACAGTGGTAAATGTCAAAGTAAGTGTCAAGTAAAAGTGAAAACGCCTAGGCGTAAAAACAGTGATTTTACTCCATGTCTGAAAAGTAAAACTTTTACCTGTGTCATTTAGTCATAAAAGTGGTCACTTTTGTGACGTTTGCAGATAAAAATATTTTATAAAATTTTGACATTGATTTTTCTTTATGTCTATCTCATGTTACCGATGATCTTGTATAATGTGCTTCGTAATTATTCAGTAAAGGTAAAGGTGCCAATAAAAAAAATGTAAAATTATTTTTACAACCGAAATAAGTATAGTCACAGTGCAAAATTTGAAGCACCATAATTTCGAAATTTTTATCGACAGAATTTTTTAACATTTTTTCCATATTCCTGGTATCTTAATTCATTTGGTATTTTTCTCTGAGGTGCGAGTTCTGAAACAACCTGTATGTTTACTTTTAGTACCCAGAAGCATTCAGTTTGTATGAAAACTTATTATACTGAATTTCATTATAATTATTATGAATTTTTAATTCTTAATAAAATTTAATTTTTGTAAGCAGTTGGAAAAGAAATTTGCTACCGGTTGCGAAGAGTTTTACAATTTTTTTTATTAATTTCTACTCAGATTTTTATAATTCTTATTTTTGTAAAAATAGAAAATTTGCAGAAAATTGAGTTTTTACAAATCCTACTAATGAAAAAAGAAACTAAATTAATTACTAGTTTTTTATTATTTTTAAGAAATTCTACGCCACGACAACATAGTCTTCGTGAGATTCGTCGACAGAAACTGAAAATAACAAAATTATAATATAATAAAAATTTTAAAAATAACTTACCTTCAGAAATTTGTGTAGGTTTAAGTTTTGATTTTAAACTTTGATAATAAACATAGAAGTCGTTATTTTGATTGGCAAATTCGTCCAATTCTTCTTTGGCTGAATAAATATCAGCGCCAGCATCGACCAAAAGTTTAACAATGTAGTAAGACCCATTTTTTGCAGCAACTGCAAGTGGACTTTTTGTATTTTTATCATATAAATCGATTGGGAGGCCTTGTTCCAAAAGGTATTTGACAACAAGGGCGCTTTTAGTTTCCACAGCTTTTATTATAGTATTACGTACAAAATCGCCCAGCAAGATACTTTTCAGTTCAACTTCCATTTCTATTAAATGTTTCACAATTCGAGAATTCAACTTCTTTAACCATTTCGCCGCCATTTTCGCTCCTTTACTTATTAAATATTTCGCAATGTCGCAATCCGCATACGACCGTTCCAAAGATTTAAACAGTGGATCGCCTTTATTGGAAGTAAAATTAACATCGGCACCATTTTCGATTAAAATCTTCACCACATCTAAATTCCTACACCATGTAACAGCTTCTATTAAGGGTGTAGTTCCGTTCCGATAATTACAATTAATTATCACTTTATTTGTTATAAAAAAATTAATTATATCGATTTTGCCTAAAGTTATGGCCTTCAAAAATGCAGTTTGCATTGTAACATCCGCTCCAAATTCGAATAAAAGTTTGATTGTTTCGAGATTACCAAATTCAACGGCTTTCACAAGAGGAGTTTCCTTTCTTGAATCAGTTTCACAAACATCTGCTCCATCTTCTAAAAGCTGTCGAGCTTTATATAATTTATTACTGCAAATGGCAGTGTATAGTTGTGGAAAATAAGGTTCATTAGTTTTTTGGGTAATTGTGTTAGGCTTTTCTTGTTTTTCCAAGTCAGCTTCCTTAACCTCTGAAATTTCTGCATCCTCAGAAATGTTTTTATTGGTGGATTCTAAACTTTGTGTATTTTGTGGTGATGGACGATAATTTTGCTTTTTAATACTCGCATCCTTATTTATAAGTAGTTTTAGAATATCTAAAGGACATTCCTCGTATATTGCCACGTGCAACGGTGTACAATTTTTACCATCTTTATAATCAACGTTGACTTCATTTTCTACTAGGTACTTCACTACGTCGAATTTTTTTGCAACTATCGCCGCTGTAAGTGGAGTTTCATATCCATTTCTTTCAATGAAGTTCAAAGGAAACTTCCATGAGACGTAATTTTCAACTCCTTCTAAATTCCCGCTTCTAATGTTCTCAAGGAAGCGGCTCTTCTCCTGCAAGCAATTATTGGATTTCAGAACGACACAATTATATTCAATCATAAAACAAAAACCGTCATTTTTAATGTATTCTATCATTTTACACGCCATTCGCTCAGAAAAGCACAAAATCGTAACTCGAAATAGAACAAAAAAATTTCCACGAGAACAAACTGAAAAACAATTAATCTTACCAAATGAATCGCGTAGCTCACCATTGCAGCTTTTTCTCTCTGAATTTAACACAAAAGCACCTAATAATAAACGGCAGTCTCTTAATTGATTGAAATTTTTGTTGTTTTTATGAAGAAAAAAATGTGCAAAATGAGAGCTTGAGCAATGGACAATGCATAGCTGAAAGCAGTGCTTGAAACACAGATGCTGAAAGATACTTTCCACTGTTCGTATGCGTATACCTGCGAGAGGCCGAGAGGGGAAATTTCTTTTATGATACCAACCTTGAATGTTAAACCCACTAGACTTGAGGCAAGTAATTTTATAACTGTAATAAACACTCCATTTAAAAAAAGACAAAATGTTTGAAGCCTTTTCTCATAAAAATGTGCAAATATTTCATTATTGGACATTTTTTAGAACCAAAAACCTTGATCATTGAAAAAAAAACTAAAATCGTTTGAAAGAGTATTACTTTTCTGAAATTTACTTAAAAAGATTTTAGAGTAATTAATAACAATTATTTCATTTAATGCAATAGTCAATTAATTTTTTTATAATTTATTTCCCTGATAAATAAATAAATTTTTAACACTAACTTGTTAAGTACCAGTAAATATAATAATTTTGTCGAGAAATTTTCCAGGAAAAAATGTAATTTTCTACCTGGTAGTCGACTTGTCTACCCTTCAAGCGTCGATATTATATTATTATTATTCCTATAATTATTATATTTCTAATTTGAAATAAAAGAATTTTACAATACTGAAAGGGGCAAGGACTGTTATAATAAGAAATATTTTGTCCAAAATCCTAATTTTTTTAGCAAAAAAAACTCTAATTGTTCTTTAATTCATTAATCAATTTAAATATTTATGAAAAGAAATATTCTATAGCTTTCGTTAATAAATTTTAACTAAAAATTTGTTGATTAATTCTTTATTGAAAAAAATTCGCAGCACATAAGAAAAGACATATGAATTTAGTGTTTATATAGAAGATTGGCAGTCATGAATACGGATAATAAATTCCTTGCAGATGAGGGTTGACACGTTTATTGCAGTTGTTGTTCTCACCTGTTCGTCCTTGAAATTCTCAAGGTTGTGCTAGGTGATACTAAAACCCAGACCTCTCTAATTTGGTTTTCAAAAGATTAAAATACCAATTTTGATTTACACCAGTTATTTAATAAATTTATAATAGAAATATTGTAGATTTTGGAATGTTTCAGTTCATCAACACTTATCAAAAAATCTAAAGAATTCTGACTTTTGTATAAAAACTGAAAAAAAAACTTAATAGAAGCTCACTGTGGTAACAAAATCAATAACATTTTTCCAAATGATTTTTATTGAATAATTTCGTTACTTCCGTCGCCAAAATTTGGAAATTTACTATAAATTGTTTACAAATACCTAGTAAAAAAATAAACCAAAAATATATTATTTATAATTTTGTGTAGCTATTATGAGGACTTATTACAAAATTTTTATTAAAAGCAACAGATATTTTCTATTTTATTGATAAGTTCATGAAAAAGTTTCATAAAAAACTAAATAAGAAAAAAAAAACAATTTTTAACGGTACAAAAAAATTTAATATTTCAAAATTCTATGCTAGGTACAAAAACATGTGTAGATATGATTGTTTAATCTTCGGTTTGGGAAGATTCGTTGACAGAATCTGAAACAAATAAAATTGTAACATGGACAAAACTTAAAAAATAAGTTACCTTCAGGAGTTGGTATAGTTTTACATTTTTGCTTCAAAACTTGATAATAAATATAAAAGTCCTCATTTTGTTTGGCAAATTCTTGCAATTCTTTTTGGGCTGACAAAATATCAGCACCAGCATCAACCAAAATTTTAACAATGCGGAAATAGCCTTCGTTTGCAGCTACCGCAAGTGGACTTTTTTCATTTTTATCACACAAATCAATCGGAACTCCTTGTTCCAAAAGGTATTTAACAACAAGGGCACTTTTAGTTTCCACAGCTTTTACTATAGTATTATGAACAAAATCGCCCAGCAAAATACTTTTTAGTTCAATTTCCATTGTAGTTAAATTTTTCACAATTTGGGAAGTGAAATGTTTTAACCATTTCGCCTGCATTTTCGCTCCTTTACTTATTAAATATTTCGTAATTTCGCAGTTGTTAAGTTTCAAGGCTTCAAACAGCGGATACTTGCCTTCATCTGTTGTAAAATTAACATCGGCCCCATTTTCAATTAAAATTTTCACCACATCAAAATTGCCCACCCGTATAGCTTCTATTAGGGGTGTGGTTCTTTCCCGATAAGTGCAATTAATGAGAACTTTATTTGATATAAAAAAATTAATTATGTCGATTTTGCCCAAGGTAATGGCCTCTAAAAATGCAATTTGCATTGTAACATCGGCCCCAAATTCGAATAAAAGTTTGATTGCTTCGAGGCTGCCCTTTTCAACGGCTACCATAAGAGGAGTTTTGTTGTTTCTAGCAGTCTTACAAACATTTGCTCCTTCTTCTAAATATTGACGAGCTTCATATAATTTTCCAGCCCAAATGGCATTGTGTAGGGGCGAATAATATAACTCATTATTTGTTTGAGAAGAGGTCCAGAAGCCTGTGGTGTTTTTTTGTGGTGGTTGACGATAACTTTGCTTTTTAATACCGGCATCCTTATTTATAAGTAGTTTTAGAATATCTAAAGGACATTCCTCGTATATTGCCACGTGCAACGGTGTACAATTTTTACCATCTTTATAATC